GTGAGGGCATTAGTGAGGTGAATCACTTTCAAGCAGAAATCTGCTATAACTTTTTTGAGATTCTTATAGGGCAGGGACTTCCTAGCTATCGACAGTTCGAGTTAGAATTGGGCTCTGAAGTGCTCGAAATATTGCTAACACTTTATTTCTCTTTTCAATGCCTCTCGTTCTTATCCATAACTCTTTTAATATACGTACTACCAGTATTCCTACTTTTAATTCTCAAATGGTTCCGTGGACCACCAAACTAACTCGTTGTTTAAAACTCTACTCCACTCTTTTGCGATAAGAGGCGTGAATATAATATATATTTTTGCTACATCTACTATATCTGATATAAGCGCTTAATGATTATTTTTTTTAATGCGAAACCTAAGTTTGTAAATATGTTGAGAAAATCACAGATCGAATCTTGACCTCGACACATCACATGGAAGCACTAGGATAAAATGACTGAAAATAATATATAATAATATAATATTGCTTGCATTATGAGCCCTGTTTCGCCACCCGACACTTACAGTATCCTTTACCGTAGTTTTTCGCCCCTTATCATTATCCCAATTTACTTTCTTCATTTTTCCTTTTACATTTGAAACGATTGCATTTTGCTCAGTTGGCGTTAGACGAGCGACCAAGCGAGCCATAAAAGAAATCAGTCAAAACCATTTCCAATGTCACACATTACAAATATTCTTATTACAAATAAGACTACAAAGGTGACAACTGGACTATGCCAATGAATTGTACTTGTAAACAAGTACAACTACATTGGCGTACTGACTTTTCTTTTTTTTCTTTTTACGTGTGGATTTCTATGGGGTGGTGTGTCGAAATTGAACCGACCAAAGTGACATGGAGTGCCATATCGCTCCTAACTTAGAAGGGATCATGGAACAGCTTTTATAGTGACATCCGGATCCCTTCTAGTACCTGCCCGCAAAAACGCAGGCACCACCGTTTCAACCAACGCACCAACGTAAACACCAAATGTTCGGGTGAACATTTTCAATAAGCCGACGCAACGCCCGACGTCCAGGCACACGCAGACGCCGCCATGTGGTTCAATAGGAAAATAAACATGGAATTCTACATTAGGCATAAAAATATTAAATATATTCTGAGAAGAAAATAATTGAGTATCATCCTAAATGCAATCTGTAATTCAAGGTGCCTCAAACGATATTGTTTTAACCTTTCGAAGCTGAAGGTTGGGCTAATTGTCCACGGATTCAATCAAACGATTTTTCACAGAGAAATCTTTATTGTTTATCATTTTACCTTTGATTTAGATGTAGTATTAATTGAGGTTATCGTACTGTTTAATTAATATAGTTTGGTACCTGGACCTCAAATTTTAGGTTATTTTTTCCTCTGAACTGCGAACTTGCGAGTAAATCTAATGGCATGTGCTTTAATACGAAACCACATATTTCTTCAAAGTGATATAAGTCAAGTTGTATTTATAGTTGAATTTAAATATTTTGTACTAAAGAGTTATTGAAGGAATTCTATTTACTTACAAAAACCTTCATACAATAAAATAATAAAAAAGTATGAGAGAAGGTATATAACTGTTTCCTAATAAATGATCTACACAATTATCTATCTAATCTAATATAATTAAAGATATATTCTTTTATAATTAAAAAATATAATTAACGAATACTCTTCATGAAATATTCATTTACGATTTTTTTTACAACGGGAAGAGAACTAGTAATATTTTTTGTGAATACTTTGTGTGATCCACCAATTGTTGTTCTGAGTCTGGGTGTTCTTTGTGTCCCTTTCATGTATGTTTGTAAAGTCTCCCGCGACACAGGATATATTCCTAATACGGGAGTTGTTATTGAAAAAAAAATTTTTTTTATGAAATAAAGATATTTTGAGTTTGAGTATTCAGCTTATTGAGTTTATTATAATATTTATTATATTATTACAATGTGCAATGATTGCACTAACTTACGCAATATGTATTTTTTCTCACCACTGACTGACTGCACCGTTACGATTTAATTTAATTCTCATTAATTAATTAACCTTTACAAAACGTTTCCAATGTTTTGTTTCCCATGTAATTAGCATGATCTACGATGTTAATATTTCTAAATCAACGTGAAAGCATATTTTCTCCACAATCGTCAGGACAATCAATTTTACATACAAACGATGACTTACAACTAAGAATAATTATAGAAGCTTTTTAGAAAGTAAAAAATACGGTCAAATCTTTATACCGCGGGAAAATAAATTCAAAATGTCAGTAAAAGGCCACGCTATTATTTATTCAATCAACATAATAAAATAGCAATATATAACTATAAAGTAATCTGAAGAAACGCAAAAATATAATTACAAGACGAAACGTTTTACATAATTCACAATCGGTTCGATGAGATCACTGTCATATCAATATAATTCTCGATTATACGTATATCGATGAAGTATCGAGTCGAACGTGACGATTGAGCACGTTGATTAGTAGTCAATTAAGTGTTCCCATAACACCGCCAATAAAAGTATTCGGTGATTTGGAAGTATTTTGTTGTAATCAATTTTTTGATGTCGGCGTCCGTTTGTGGAAGAACAAATGGTCGTTTTATTGGCGTACCGAATTTAGTGAGGTCGGTGTCGAATACGCTTACCGGACTTCACTCCAGGGTATTGACGGGTAACAAGAAAACGTTTGATAAAAGAAACGGTACTAGTTATACATAAAAAAAATTTGGTTTTAAAATCAGATAAAAATATTAAAGGCTGGCTATGTGCTTGTGACTCCTGAGTTACAGGCGTTCATGGGCGGTAGTAGTCGGTTTCCATCAGGTGACCCGACTGCTCGTTTGCCCCCTATACCATGAAAAAAAGATTTGGTGCTGGTTAAATTGGCATGTTTTAAATCTTTGTAAGTTTCATATCAAATGATGTCTGTACACGCAATTCGTAACATTGTATGTAAATACGATTTCTTAAACATTTTTCAATAAAAACTTACGATCTTGTACAAAGTTCGTATTCTCTTCGTTGCACTTAAGATCAGATTATTCTTTAAGTAATATTACGTCGTTTCAAAAATGAAATAAATGTTTAAGAATTAGAAAGGTGATGATTAAATTATAGGAATTCGCATTTTAAAAATTATTTAAAGTTAAGGTATGTCCATAGGCAAAATGAATATAACTTTTTACGAGCATACGGAACCTCCATGAAGTATCAATCACGTGGCCTGCACCGTATCGAAAGGCCATCTCAAGAAGCCGAAAGCCGGCTTCGGTAAAATTTTATAGTTTATAATTACTGGTGATTGCCGGCGTGACCCGTGATCTGCCAGTTCAACTGTTGATTTTCATTTTTTTACCCTAAAAGTTTGCTAAAGGGTTAACATTTTTGAGAGATTTCTTAGATCTTAACTTGCATTTTTTTTTCATTTTTTACATTATTTAGTTTTAATGTCACTTTTTTAATACTAATCAAACCAGATTCAGTTGAGCAATAATACCAATATTATTGCTCAATATATATTGCTATACCAATATTGTGCTCTTGCACAAAGTTAACAATAAGGCCAATATTGTTGACTTTGTGCAAGACATATTTTTATGTCTTTCGACACTGTCTAGGTAAATAGGATATCGGGTGTAAGGAAGTCACGGTTGGCACTGAAGCGCATTCGGAAAGTTCAATGCGTGGAGGGACCAGGCTGAACTGAATATTTATTTCTCCCAATACTAATGTTTCACAGAGACACACGGGTAGATAGTAACCTACATATTAAACTGCTGACAAATATCAAAGCACACTATTTTATCGTCCCTATTGTCTTACGAAGGGGGAGACACGCTCTAATTAGTATTGAGAGCTCTGTATTAAATTTGACTTTCCTCCAAGCAATCAATATAATGAAAAAAATGACGGCTAGGATGTGCAGTGAATAATATATAATAAGTAAGCAAAATGTAATGCTTTTTCGTCTTCAAAGTGTTTGATGTGTTTGTGGCGAGGTTACACCTGGGGCTATCGACTAGATTAATAAAGAGATATACACATCTCCATGTCTGCTTTACAGATATATATGAAAGTTTTAAATGCATAGAGTATTCATAATCATAACGCTTAAAATTAAATGATTATAATTATATATAAATTACGCTAATTAGGTAAGAGTCCCGGTTCCTTATTCTATAACTAAGTTTCGAAGAGTAAAGTAGAACAACTATTTATAAACTCATATTTGTACGCAACTCTTTTATACTTGATATAAACTCGTATTTCTCATGCTGTTCAATTAGCACAACTAATAGTAACAAAAAGCATGTCTGTCATGGGACCGTGACGACAGAAGCGATTTAATTACTCATGGTTATACATCAAAACTAACCGAGTAGATCCCCTTGTTATATTTTTTTATGTAAATATTACTAATTAGGCCGAATGAGTGTGTTACTTTCATTTGATAGAATTTAGCTTGTGTCTATGGTTAATGAAGTAACAGATTAAAAAAACACCGTAGAAAAAACTAGGCTTTAACTGCAGTCTTTTATTTTCCAATTATTATTATATAAATTTCAGTCTAAAATAATATAGTTTTAGAGACCATGGGATATTTTTTTGAATGAAAACGAATGGTCAAATATAGATTACAAAAAAAGGCAAATTGTGGATTGTCTGACGATTAAACTAATGGAAAGAGACACATTTAAAAAGTCGGAATGCCATACATTTTGCCGAAGAAAGGGAAATATACTCATATTTATAAAGAAGATATTGATAAAGAAAATTAAGGAAAAACTATTTTATTGCCACTTACTTTCATATCCGAAAAAAGTCTTATGTTATGAGTAATGTAAAGGTCTGTCATATTTTCAGTTAGAACCTTAGAGCTTTACTTTTCATTACATTAAATACTATGTAAGCTAGCAGAATTTTAGACTTAGTTGATGTTTTTTCATAAATAGGTACTCTTTACAGCACCGAGAAGAATAGTAACTTAACAAACTCACCTTCGTCTTACTCCCGCCAATCGAACCGGGTCTAATAGACCCAGTTTCATAGAACCTGGTTAGTATCTTGCTCACACAACCGTGGGATACCAGCAGTTGCCGGCTAATGTCACACGGTCGAACCCCCATGATGGCCAGTTCCACGATTCTCTTGCGGACCACATCGGGGAGTGGACGTCCATTGACAAATACGCCTCCTAGTTGGTTTACACCGGCTTGGCCTGTGGAAGAAAGGGATGACTTTAATACTAATTTACTATTTTTTAAATAGTATAGGGGTCAAATGAACAGTCAGGTGACGTGATGGTAAGTGACTACCACCGTCCTTAGATATCTGCAACTCGAAAGTCTCAAGTGCGTCGTCGCCCTTTGAGTGCTATAGGATGGTATACGAATTCTGAAGTCTAGAAATAGTGTGGTCCCAATGGTAAAATAAATTGTATAATGGTCCTTATAAAACGATGTATATCATACGGCTGTGAAAATCGGTATTCGTTATTGTTTTCAAGTTTTTTTTAAATAATTTTTATAGTTAACTCTATATCAACCCGTCTGGCCAGCGTGGTCTGGTAGGCCAAAACCGCCTTTCTAAGAAGAGGCCTATGTTCACCAGTGGGCAATTAGGTAAAGGCTGTGGATAATGATAGTTAAACCAAATAGTGAATGATTTGGCATTAGGTAAGTATAACGTCATAGTTCATTATTGTTTACCTACCAATTAAAAAAAGTAACCATTTTGAAGATTCATAAACAGAAACTGATGACTTAACTGTCAACTACCGCATTCTCGTATTCAGTGGATATTTTTTTTTGTCTATTATTAGCCAAACATTAACAGACGGGACGACCATAAGCTCTCTATGGGAAAATTTATTACTTTTGATGTAGCCGGCGTGCAAAGTTACATACCAGATTTCAGTAGTCATTGAAATCTCTATGGTTAATGGACGTGAAGCTTGGCTAATAGAACTTTGACAGCCACGGTAGTAATACGACACGCACGATAACCTTTGTTACACGCTTATGGGACTGACAGCTGGTGTTGTCATACCAAAGGAATTTGCTATTTTATGCATTTTCTTGTTTATTTATAAGCTTTTTAACAGAGCAGAACTTTTCACATAATGGCCTGATTATCAGAACTCTTTTGTATTAATTTTTTTATTTATAGGATAATTAGTTGGCTCTATTCAAATTTGTAAAAATATTTACCCTAAAATATAAAAAGGAAGGGATGAATGATTTTTCATCCACTGAGTTTTTGTCTGTGAAACTATTCTGTTGATGTTTGGCACACAGCACTTCTAATGACGGAGATTTGTAGTTGAACAGAGAACTAAATTGATAGCCTGCTGAGGGAAATCCCAATGGCTTTGCAGCTACTATTTCGTGTTTAACTTAGACTAATAACAGAGTGTTGTTGAAACACGCATAATATATCTGATAATGTTACAAACAACATGAATTTTAAAACATTTGAGCAAAGGGCAAAGGCTATGCGTTTTCACGGTCATTTATCATCAGCCGCCGAAATACGTTCACTTCTTTCTGGACCTAGGCCTCCCCAAAGGCTCTCCACAACAACCGGTCCTGTGCTGCCCGCATCCAACGGCATGTGTTTATGTGTTATATGGTTTAGGTTTAGGTGTACAGAACACATAAACCTGGTTGGCAATAAGTTATCTACAATATATATATATATAGTAAGTAATATTATGTATGTTAATTAGCAGTCGTCGGACCACCTTTTAGGGGGCCTGCCCACGCTCCGTCTACCGGTACGTGGTCGCCTGAACTTAGTGGTCCCACGACCTTCCTCCGTCACCGGGATGAGCCTCCCGCTCATCTCGGTGACTTATCGTCAAGCATTTGAAACTTTCCACTTGCAAGAGACGTTAAGCCCGCGACCGAAGCTTTGTAAGTAAAAGTACAATAAATTATTATTTTTAAATATTCTCAGTTATAAAAAATAATACAAGACATTTAAAACGGTAGAAACTCTACTTCCAGGCAATCTTTAGTAGATATTACTAGGAGATAATCCGTGATCCCTAATTTTAAGATATTTACATATTATTGACATATTTAGTATACCTATGTATAGTTTTCAAACTCAAACTCTACTTATTTCATAAAAAAAATTTAATTGTTTGAAATCGTCTTTTATGTAGACTCTAAAGTCATAGATCAACACACTCAAAGGCAACAATCTCTGTTTTGTCAAATAGTAAGCAAATAAATTTAATAAAAATTAAATTGCCTATAACTAAATATGCCTGTGCCGATCTACAACCTATAGGCGTTCACCTTTCCAAGGCGTTGAGCCTTATGGGTCGGAGGGCCATGCTTCGTCAAAGATGGGGCCGGCTCGACCGGTGCGATACCACGGCCTCACAGAAAACCGGTCGTTAAGCAATTTCCCTGTTGCATTTCACCGAGTGAGTATGGTTTCCGGAGCCCAATCCAACGGGATATCCCCCCTCATGATAGCGTTGGAAAATATTCTTTTTCCGGATCGATACGACCCTCAAACTTCGGACGGCAACGCGTTTGTGACTCCTGAGTTGCACTTTCCATCAAAAAAATAAACAAATGGCCACTCTTTTGCAATTAACAGATAGATACAATAGCATTATTAAATATACCACAACATTGTTTTGATATACGCCAGTATGTCCGTTATTAAGCACTAAAAGGTAAAAAGACAATGAAGAGCCACATTGAACATATGTTATATAAAATATTTGTCAAAAACCTTTACAATCAAATGAGGTATGGATTGACCCTAATTAAACATTTACGAGTATTATACTTTGAAATATTATAAAACTTAATTTGTTTTCTATCAAATAATGTCTTAAAAAGATGGGCAAATCCAGCGGATTTGCAACAAAAAGTGTTTTGCAATGTTGTAAAGTAAAGGGCACATCAATATGTTTGATTACTAAGTAAGTTTATCCTTAATTAGTTTTTTTTTCTACAAGCTAACCCATACTCACCCTTTTTCATTGACATTTAATAACAAGTTTGAGTAAGGGATAATTGTGTCCTATGCAAGGTGCTTGCGTTGTGTGATTAAAAAATACAACACAAACACCGAATATAGTTTAAATTCGGTGTTAGTGTTGTATTTTAAGACCGAATTCATAAGAAAGAAGAAATTCTCAAATTTGAAGAAGCTTTTTGAAACTAATGAACTACTATTTGAAATTATTTACTGAAAAACTATTTGAAATTATGAACCGATTTGAAAACTTCTCTCGTGTTTGGGATGGTACATATTTAACGTTCGGATAAATTAAAATTTGATCCTAACATACCATCACTCAAGACAAAAATTTGCATTGGAATGTGCGATACTTTTTTAAATGTTTGTATGTTGCTTTTTTATTAAAAACTGCTTTTCGTCATGGAGGGTTTAATATCAATCCTCTGGTAAAATTAAGACAATAAGTGAACGACTTGCACTTCAACCAAAATTATAATTAAACTAATGTAAAGTTTCTTAAGGAGTACTATGTTATTGATACTAATAAACGCGTAGTAATATATTTGCCATATTTTTATGTCAAGTATTGAAATTTAGCTAAGCTTTAAAGGTTGTTCAAGCACGTGTATAGCTACTGATGTTTGAGTTCAAATTAACCCGCGCCTTGTCGTTATTAACATAAATGACTTATCCACCATAAATTCATATGAACGAACAACAAGTAATAAAACCTGCAACTTGCAGTTAATCAAAAACAACATTTATATCTCAATTACAAAAGTCCCCTTTCACCTGTCCCCATTTCGTCCTAATATTTATTTGATTGCCAAATTTGTATCACTACCTTAAATACCGTTGTTCTGACCCGCCATTTTGATAAAAAAAAGTCTTAGATGAAAGATATTCTTTCTTCAAAGATAGTCTTTGAAATTTATCGAGCAAGTCGTTAATTAAGGTTATAATGAGATGTTTTATCTATTTGTATATAATTATTAGTTGTATAAAATGTTAGTTTTTTTTTCTTTGTATACGGTATTTTTTAAACGGTTAGTTTCAATTGTTTCGGGACTGTTTTATTTAGGTGTGTTCTACAATAATGGTTACGTTTTGATATTAACAAATACGCTAAAACTTATAGAAAGTTTAATTTGTAGAGTATAAAAATAAACACTTTTATTTAGTTGGCAACAATAACAATAATAACCGGTAAAGATAATTGTTAGGATATAGAGTTAAATAAGTTACATTTCAAAGGAAACTGAGTCAGAAACTCCTAGTTTTTTTTTCCTCTCAGTTTCAAGTCCAGTCGTCCAATGCTCGAAATATGATCACAATTTTTTTTGTCTAAAAAGTCAGTCAAGGGTAGGGCAAATTCTTTTATCTTTTTTTATTTATAACGGAAAACCACTTTAATAATCACATAAAGAAGTCAGTCAACTAAAAGGAGAAAAACCTACTTTTTGGCACTTATTTATATTTAAATAATATTTTGTAGAGGCGATTCGCTGCTTTAACAATTGAACATATAAATAATTGGATATTTTACGTTTGCCAAAAGGTCTTGACACTTCCAAATCCGTCCATAATCCGCTAATAAATGATCAAATCACACACTAATTTAGTAATAAAGCAACTTCCCGACCTATACATCACTAATGAGAAAAATCAATCACGTTTATACTCGTACGAAAACCCATTCTAGACGACTGATTTAAACCCAGGCAGCTACGTAACCGCTACTTTTAACTGACCATTATAAAGTAATAAAACAATCCGTCGATGCCAAGCCTTTTACAACCTTAGTGAATATAAAATTAGGGTTCTAATTTATCCGCAGTAATTTGGGTTTATGACGTTTCACTTTAAAGTGAGATACCGCACCCGCCTATACGCGATTTCACGGGTGTTGTCGCGCAGTCCGATCCACGGATGCAAATTACTTCCCTTGCTTTACGATTCCTTCTTCAGGCGGCAACTTGTAATGATTATATCGGTTCAAAGAAAATAAGACTTTAGCTCTAACTATTAAACTTTAATTTTGTTTGGTAGGTAGATCGTCATTAAAAGAAAAAAGTTGGAAAGTGCAAGGTCTTCGCACATGGTCAATAGATGACAGATATTCTGCGAAAAGGTTCGTTCTTGGATCACTTGGTTTTAATCTTGTGTGCACTGATCACTTGCTGCTTGAAGGTGTCGTCTTAGGCATGTTTTGATAATAATAAGTATCTAATGTGTAATGTTCAAAGACTGCACGCATGGAGTAGTGGTTTAAGCGGTCGCCACGCGCCGCCGCCGCTTCGTACTGCGCTGAGTGTTGTGGGTTCGATCCCACATGGGACACCATTTTGTGCGCGACACAGAATATACATTCCTAATGCGGGAGTTGTCTTTTTTTTAACTGGTAGTTCATCAATATTTTTAGTAATTCTCATTAGTCCAGGTCATCAATTCAATCTAGTTAGATAAAAAAACATTTAGCGGCTAATTTTGTTTAAAGGTGCTCCTTTGTACGCCTATACTTAAGGATGTTACAGTCTCTTCATCTAATTATTCCGTCCCGTGTCAGTCAGTCTGCAAAACGACGTTCACAAAGATATCCTATATGTAATCTAGAATATCTGGCTTTTGAAATTAAAACACAAAATATGAAATATAATAAAAACGGATACGGCGTATCCAAAGTAAACATGATTTATCTTCCCAACTCTAAATCTTTAATATCACAAAAATATCAAAACACAAAAAATCACATTTTTCTTTTCCATATCGGTGGGGTCTTCACGATGTTCCAGAGTAAAAGTAAAAAAAAAGCGCAGATAAAATCTCATTTAGTAAAGCGATCGTAAATATATAAAGTTTAACGCACATAGGAACATAAAGTTGCTGCAAATGAGGTTTTAGGAAGCATAATGTTAATAGTTAAATATAAAACTTCACCGATTGTTTCATAAAAACTCTATTGCCTCATCAGGCGCGGTAAAGATAGGAGCATTTAATTTGCACAAATTTGATTACGTGGTACCCTATTGATGGAAGAAACTTATGAGAAAGCCATGGTAAATGAATTTCTATACTTTAACATATCTTATGCAAATAATTTGTTTCACAATTACAAAACTCGTCATACTAAAGTAAAACTTACAAATGTAGTGTACTAGAAGCTCTGGTGTTTTAACCAGGATATGCAAAACTATTTAGATAAATAAAGAAGATCTTTTAGTCTATCATATCACCTAGTAGTCACAATTGGGTACTGTAGTCGTGACAAATTAACCATGTATAACTTGGAGATGAAGTTGCAAGAATCTTCCATTGTTCGTATCCGCACTAACTTAGAGTAGTCAACTATAGGCTATTTTCTATTTATTGTAATTAGACCTTATATCAAATTTACATATACACACATACTATACACTTACGATTATATCCCTTTATTCCCGAAAGGGAAGGCATGGTAACTTGCAACTCGAACTATTATTTATCGAAACTTTTTTGGTAGTCGTTAGTCTTTTAAAAGGTATGTTAACATCTTAACTGCAGCCTATCTAATCAACAGTTTTATTGTAAAACTACAAATAACTAGAGCACCCCTAATGTAGTCCATAAATAGAACAAACAAATAAGTTGCGTAAGTGCAGTTTCGCGCGTAGGTAAACGCTTTTTGTGCACGGTGTGCGTTAAGCCCAATCTCACAATACCGGTAGCTTTCATTTCTCGCCAATCGAGCTCAGTTACAGAACTCAATGCCTCCGACCCAGCCGCCAACATTAATTGTATGGTTTACAGTTCCGTTTTATAGCCGGTAGCTGAAGCATCACTCGATGTGTGAAAATTGATATTAAAGGTTTTGATCTGATGTGAAGTTGAAGGATGTTTTAGATTTGAAACGAAATATATTTCTTTCATGAATTCTTTCCTTCCTAAATTCAACACTGATCAACATCTTAAGAAGTTCTCGTAAGACGGCTGCTTTAGGGGGGTAATTCTAAAGACACTTTTTCATTCATTCATTACCCAACAAAATAATATTGGCAAAATCGTATTGTTTTCGCCTTATTACAGATTTTAGTCTTGATGGTCAGGCTTATAGCCATAGTTTCTTGCTATCTAACATTCCTTTTGGTGGATTTTTGCTCCTAAACTGTGGGTTATAGTTGTATCTATTTTAATGAGAGTTTATTATTGCTTTTGCAATAGAAATCTTGGAAACTAAAATCGAATCCTTTTAATAACGTCTTTCTCAGCCATATCCTATTTTCTTTGAGCTGCGTAGTTACGAGTATTATTGTAAAGAAGTTGTTTCAAATAATATCTTTACATCAATCACCATTAAAGCGGCAATCAGACACGTTATTGGCAGGGAGCGTGCTCCACACTATTCCTATTACGAGTATGTTGCACTTGCGTATCATCCTGAGTACAATACAATTAGTTATTAAGTAATGACTTTCAGGAATAGATCACGGTCTTGTCTATACTCATGTAACTGTTCTGTCAATAATAGTGATTAAGCCAATTCCTTTGTTGCTTTTTACCGCGTGATGGAATTATCCGGAGGTAGCACCCCCCTCTACTAATCAGGGGAGTGCAATACACTTATAACTCTTGACTTGTAGGTGTCAAAATTTGACATCTCTTTAGCTCATTCGTATGTAAGACCCATACGTTTCTTTTCCATTCTAACTATTTATTAATACCATGCAGATTTGATTGTGTCCTCTGGCGCAATTAGGTTAGCAGTTGCTATTACATTAACCGATTAATTTAAACATACAGAATCACTTGTATGGTTAATAGAAGATTGTCACGACACTGAGGTCAACAAAAAATCCTCGTTCGCCAGTTAAACCTTGCCAACAAAACTAGTGTAATGTAAATTTCGTGGAACGCATTTAAGATACGAACTGCATGCGTCTCGAGATCGCCATAACCTTAATGCTCCCAGTTTTACAATCGGTTGGCTATAAAACTTGGCGTTTTTTTATTCGTATATCGACGATATATCGTCCAAGTTATTGCACGTTTCACATCTTGTGACCGATTTTATAACACCGCTGATTGGCTCACGTTAGGCACAGAAGCAGCGATTTTTCGCTCTATACTTTTAGCGTTGATGGCTTTTCGGTTGTCGTTTAAGACACGGGTTAAGAATTTGTTTAGGTTGTAAACTGTCTAGGTTGGCGCCGTTACGTAATTGCTTTGAGACTGTATTGTCGTTTGAGCTTCGAAACTGTTGGGCATAAAATTCGATGATAAAGTTTATCCAGAGAGGAGCTGGACACCGACAAGACTGGTGCGATGTTTCTTTCAACTAGTTAGATACTAGTATCTCCTCTTTATTGCTTACCAGAAAATATATCTACAGTCTAGAAATAAAGTACTTAGTGAATGTACAAAGGTCAGTCTTATTTCTGTGTAAGATCTCATTCAAACTACCATAAGATGGATTATATTGTATAGTAGTACTTAGGCAACTCGTAATGCATAATATAACAACAAAAATTAGAAAAGAACAAATATTGAAAATCATCAAATCAAGTGATTTATCTAGTAACCACTCCACATAAGTACTCAAGTCCCTTACAATAGGTCCACAACAGACTAAACACCGTGTGGTTTTAGTCGGTTCGATTTCGACATACCTACCACTTTAGCGTGAACCTCAGTGATGCGATGACTCGTGGAGGTTTTCACACATTTAAAGAAAAGTATGTAAACGTTTATTTGGCTGCTTAGAAACTGTAAGGATTTACTAAAATTAAAATCGTTTCGATAGTAGCCTAATAAATATGTAGTTGAGTAGTGTAAAATTATACCCAAAGAAATATGTCTATATGCTGATCAGTTATCTATATTTGATGGGATAGAAGATGCGCTAAGGTGAAGGTACATTTAGGAGTGTAGAATACATTAATCGTAGATCACAGCACATCATATTAATAGCCGCAGCAGTTTAATAGTCCACTGATGGACATTGGCCTGGTAAGTTTTGGCCTACTATACCACGCGGGTCAGACGGGTTGGTATTGGGTTTGTTTCAAATTTTCCTTCTCTTTGCAGTGCTGTTGTCCTGTTTCCTTGTCAAATATTTGTGGGTATGAAAATTTAATGTTTGATTTGGTATGGCTGTATATATTTATATCAGTTGTCTAGTACCCATAGTACAAGCACTGCTTAGTTTGGGACTAGATGGCGTTGTGTGTATGTGGTAGAATAACATTATTATTTTACTAAAAAAATACTTCTCAAAATGGAATGCCGTAAAAATCACATAACACATAAAATACAAATAATTTGACTTTTTAGAAGCAGGTTGTTTTTTTCGTTAGTAAAGACAACTACTGCACTAGGAATACATCCAGTGTCGCAGGCGACTTTACGAACATTTCAACTCGGAATAACAATTTGTGGATCACACAAATGTTGTCCCATGTGGGAATAGAACCCAACACTCAGCGCAGTAGGAAGCGGTGAGGTGACTGCCTTAAACAGTACACCAACCGTGTAGTCAAAATTAGAAAATGTGGGATTATAAGATAAGTATAGTTTTACTAGTAAATGCTTTTCGATACGTATGCTTTTTCAAGTGCCTTGAAAATAACCGTGTACTAGGTTTCTACTCTTGCATTCATACATAAAATTATAAACTTCAATTTATTTTACAAAGAGGCGGTCATATTATAGACGATAATGTTTAATTAATTTCTTTAATAGATATAAATTGTGTTTTTAATTGATGTTAATACACAGTCCAGGCTCCATGGACTTGTACATAAGCTGTACTGTACATGAACATTTTTAAATCTCTGAGGAAATGCCTATTTAAGCATTGCTTTGAGTTCAATCTGCAATAACATATCATAGTTTTTAAATTGTATATGCTGTAGATATAAAGATACTGTTATAAAACCAGTACCTTAACTTCCTTATTAGTTTTAATCACACTTTAATTGAGAATCATGAAAGGTGAAAAGCGATGGCTCTCGGCACAAGTAGTGAAGAAAAAAAATTTGTCAGCTTGTGACCACTTGTCAACTTACTAACAAAGGTGCAACCTGGTCGAAACGTCATGGCAAATTAAATCTATGGACTACTCCCGTGTATGTCCCTACATATATAGGTATAATTATATTAACCTTAAGCAACTGTTCTATTTCATACTTGCGGTAAAAATAATTTACAACCTGTTATAGAGATATTGTATGTACCTATATCATAAATACAATAATACCGCCTACGATACTTTTATTATAATAAAAACTTACCTACCTACGTACGTACCTATCCTATTGCATTTTGACGTTTTACAATGTGCCATAAAAAAAAAGAAATGTAAATACTGAAACTCTATGCGTTTGACAGTTATAGTTTATTTTTACTTTAAATAAATTTGTATTTCACCGTGGCCTTACTATTGTACAGGTGCTAATCATAAGAAAATATAGTAGGTACATGTATTTGGTGCAATTATAAAAGACTATAATGGACCGGTGTCGTTGTGAAGATTATTCTGCAGCTGTCAAGAAAATAAAGTTCTTCACCGTGGGCACTCTTCGCCCTGATATCCTTGATAATTTCGACAGTAAGATTTTGATTGCAATTTTTGTTGTAATTACGGTCAAATGACTTTTTCAATTGTTGTGTTGGGCAAAGGACATAAACCGTTTCGGCAGATCTTTAATATTGAAATGACGACTCATTCAAATGCTAACAATCTCTAAAAGAATGGAGGAAGAATACATAACAATTACGTTAATCACAAAAATAAATTAGGAATTTGAATTTTCGTTTAGTTTAAGTGATAGGCTCTACACTAGAATCCGTCATCATGTGATGGTAAGTGACTGAGACCCATCCTGCCGCCCTTAGTGCCTACAGAGTTAGGAGTGAGGGAGTGTTATATCTACAGTGACCTCACTCGCTCCTTTTCTGTTAACGGGGTGGAAGATCCTCATGGATGTCCTTCAACCATGTAATGGGGTTCCCATTCTCTTACCGACTAAAAATCACCTCGGAGCTCTTCTGCTTGCCAATGGCCGGAGGAGCGAGAATCGCTTTTGCATTCACTTGGTGAAAAGCAACTGCAGAATTACTTTTTCTCTCTCTCTCTCTCTCTCTCTCTCTCTCTCTCGCTCTCGCTCTCTAAGGTTTTCATTGATACCGTAATATCATTCCTGAATAGCATGACTCTCCCACAGTTAGAAATAAAAAGTAAAAGTTTTATAAACTAAATACTGTTTCAGGATCGCAATATGTAACGGCATGGGTTAAGAATGGTATAAGTTTGGTCGACTTACGGTTCTTGAAACCCAGGGCGTGGAAAAAGGTGCCTCCCTCAGAAGTTCCCGAGGACCAGTCGAGTGAGCGACGGCGACAGATCGAAGAGATGTGGTGCCCATACATGACACCATTTAAATTAGAAATGTTTGAGACTGATCAGCAGTAATTTAATTTAATAAACATTTGAGAAATGTTAAATTAATCATGTCAATAGCTTAGAATGTAGATTATCAAACGCCAGCACCAAACTATTTGTTATTAATATGGCACATGATTATAAAAGAAATAAATAAAAGGTGTTTTTCCTTAAACTACTTTTATGTTAGAAATCCAACACTATAAGTAAGAATTTATAAATATGTACAAATACTGTTTCGTGAGATATAACTATTAATAATAAACACACCTCACACAGGATTTCTGATCCGAAACTAGGCAGAGCCTGTACTGTCTTAATGGGTCCGGCTGTCTTAATAACAGCAGTTCCCGGATCCCTCCTATTACAGGCGCAGAGTGGCCGTGTGGTTTTAGTCAGTCCAATTTCAACACACCACCCCGCCGCAAACCCCGGTGGGGTGATCGCCCGAGGAGGTTTCCACACGTAAAAAAAATAAAGTGTCACCAGACTGCCGATAAACATACTTATGTATATACTAAATACATACAAATTATGCCTAAATTATCATTCTCATCACAGAATTGTTTATCCTCGGTGGGCCCTCGACTTCTGGCATTCAGGTTTTGAGCAAAAATAGCACCCTTAGCCCCTCAAGGTTATACCTACGTACGTATTCAGAGAAAATATACTTAAATATTATATCTACAAAAGTTTAGGAGCTGTAGAGATTTTTAGACTAGTGAAACCGTCTATAGGTTAACGGAAAACTATTTACAATGAGCAACATCAACATTGTATCTACATATCTACCGTTAATACGCCGATAAACATCTTTATGATCTAGCAGACAAGTTTTAAGCAATAATTAATGAACAATAATAAAAAGAAATAAAGTTTATGATATAAAATTGTAACAGAGTTGTAAACATCGAACTAGAAAATCGAATGTGATGTATAGATTCATTTGATTTAGACCGGATTTATGTAGTTGGTTTAATATGGATATGATATCTATTACAATCACATGTTAATACGTAAAAAAAATGAATTAAACTTCACAAGACAAAAAGACAGTTTATTCTTTATTGTATAACAAAATTATACAAAAACTTATAAACATCAATTATTGCCAGCTAAATGCACAATAACTGTTAAGAGTGATTTTTTCAATTACCTTTAAGATTGGCAGGAATCAACACTAAATAAATACTTTAATAGTGCAGTGTAGGGATGGAATAAAATCATAATCGCACGCGATAAATCATATGTTTTATAAATCATATAATCACACCTAGGACTGATTTACAAAACCCCTGTGACTTATTATTATTATTACGCTAGCGCAAGACTCGCGAAAGATCTAAATCTAAAAAAAAAGGTCGTAATCTTTGATAAAAAGAATAATGATTGATTTTTACATAGAGATAGAAGCATTTTAATGACATTTATCTTTGTCTATGACGAAATGACAATCACATGCGAAATCGCTGCGACTAAAACCAATCATTTTATCAAATGAATATGATTTCAAAGTAGCAATTATTTCCATGTCTAGTGCAGTGCATATTGTATAATAAAATTGCACTGATTTACGTATTATCAATGTAAGTACATATATGTAATGTTTATAGGTCGAATACTTTTATAAAATGTTTTCCCCGGATTTTTTTAACACACTTTTATTAGCTGCACTCGTAACTTACTAATTAAGAAAATTATTTGTGGAACAACTTGACGCTTTTAGATAATATGTACTATAATTTCACAGCTTGCAGATGGTCTGATGATGGAGCCAGGTAGATAATGGAATTCATTCTGATGAATCCCGAGAGATATCAATGAATTGATAGTAAAGTCAGGAAGCGCATTAAAAGTTTTAAGGACGAGTTAGATGTTTTCTAAGTTTACAGAAAATTATTCAAACATTTTTAAGTACCTACCAGAGCTGGTTGAAACTTCGGTAGGACTTCTATTTTTTTTATGTACTTAAAAATATTAAATAATAGGTTCGTTTCATCTATAACCTAAATATGAAAAATGGTTGATTAGTCTTTGTATGTAGAATCTCATTATATTCTTTTTATGTATTAAGATTTCATTACATTTCGAAATATTATGCGGCTGTTGCAAATAAATTGTTTATTAAATTCCCAATTCAAGATAGAGTTTATATTTATTTTAAACAGTGATTTGGCTTATTTAAATGTCAATAAATCAATTAATCAATCAAAATTTCAAAAATTATTTGCAAAATACATAATATATGTAGATTATTAATAATTTAACATTTAAACTATAGCTATTATGTTGAAAAACAATTAATTTAGTAATGGAAAAGTAACTAGATAATCTGTAATATTTAAAATATCATATTTAATAACGTATAATATTTTTTTAATTAAACTTACTAGGTAAGTATATGAAATCTAGTAGTATCTCTAGTACAAACATAGCTTTCCATGATAAAAATATATAAAATATGTTAATATATTCAAACTTTATTACTTATGTAACCATTTAACTAAAATATTCATTTTAGTGTAATAAAACTAAACACTTATAGTTATTTTATTGCAACGTCAAAGATTCTACGTGAGCTATGCTACGTGAGCCCTACTATTGGACACTATTTTCAAAAAAAAAATGGATGTAATCTTCTGAAGCGCAGGATCTATTTATAAAACATTATTTATTTGACAAGTATTTAAAAAGATACACATATTACTCGTATATAAATATGTACCTACAAATAATTACGCACACTAAGACCCAGACTGTAAGGTTTTTTTTCAAAAATAGAATAGGCGGATCTAATAGAATTCTAATTCAACTGATTGAAAGCTACAAGAAGATTTTGTTATTAAAAAGATACACGTTTATCTAAGTGAAACCTATTCACTCTATTTCTTTCCAGGATTATACATCTTTCTTAATATGAACGCATGCAGTTCATTCCATACGTTACTGTGTTAGCTTTTGTACCAAAAATCGACTAAGTATTCATAAGCATAAGCATCATTATACTGTTTGGTATTAGGACATAAAAGTTATGGAACCTACCTATGTCTGCATCATATAGTCCACTGAAGGAATTGGAAAAAAAGTGTAGCGTACGAGTAAAAAAAATCCGATTTGTAATCGACTTTACTACGTTCAAGGATACCTATGTAGTCCCATATTTATTTTTACTAAAACAAAACATAAATAAATCCAAATTCTTCGCTTACCAATATATATATTTTTTCTACTTGAAGATTTACATATAAATTAGCAAATAAAACCTGTTTTGGCAAGGCGATATTTTATCAATAAAGACACCATCCTTTAAGCCTTAAGAACTGGTATTATAAAGATTTACTGACAAAATTAAATATTATAGGTGTTGAATCAAATGGGCGTAGCCACACTAAACCTTCCTCTTGTCGAACGAAGCCCGCCCATGCCTACTCGATAAGCTAATTTGGCGTCAATCGTGGCGACTTGTCTTTTACTCGTCTACAAACGTCACGTCTCAAACCGATAGATCTATCCGATAGCGTGTAGGTGTCGGATATCCAACTGGAAGTTTCAAATTTATATTAGAGATATTCATTTAATTTTCATTCGTCGTGTTTCATTCAATGAAATTCGAAATTCGTAAAAAATCATTTTTATTCAATGACGGATTAAGAATACGGAGAATACAACCTACAAGAATACGGAGAATACGGAGAATTAAGAATACAACCATGGGCTGAATTGAGGTAATAACATTACCTCAATTCAGCCCATGGTTGTTGTAAGAGCCGACTAAGGAAGCAAACTACTCAGGACAACAACACTTTTTTTTTTTTTTTTTTTTTCCGTGCGGAAATCCCCTCGGATACCACCTGTCGGTGGCATGTCGGACTCGAACCGACTAAAACCGCACGCCTTCGCCGGGTACTAATAGCCGGGGAACCAGGTATACCCTAGAAAGGAAGGCCCTGGTGCCCCGACATACCTCGGGTCATCTACAGACGAGTAGACGACCCCCGCCCCGTGTGGGAACCCCATGTTCCCTGTGCTCCCTGGAAGCGAGCGCGCTTCGCAACGCGCTCGCCGCCACCCCGGCCTGCTTCTGCTAGGGTGACCGATGGCCTCACCTGTCACCCCCAGGCCTGCGCTTATGGAGGACGGAGGTCGTTCTGCGACCTCCGGCGCCTAAGTCGCCTGCGCTGCCTGGCCCGTGCCCATGCCTGGCGGGCCGGGAGAGTTCTAAACCTCTCCCGGTCCCGCTCCGCCGTCTCCTTCGCGAGCATAACTTGCTCGCAGAAGGAGACCGCAGAGTTCCACGCACTCTCGCTCCGCACGATAGCCGCAATCAGGCTATCGAGCGAGAGAACTCCCACTCCGATGGCCGCCACGAGGTCTCGCCTCTGCTCAACCCACGCCGGGCAATCTGCCAGCGTGTGGAGAGCCGAGGACAACAACACTGCAAAGACAAGTAAAACTTGAAACAAACCCTATACCAACCCGTCTAGCCAGTGTAGTATAGTCGGCCAAATCTCCTTTTTAAAAAGAGGCCAGCAGTGGACTACTAAAAGCTGTCGATTGGCTGTTTAAGTTACACTAAGTAGTAAGTAAACTGTATTTAAGTTAAATGTCTCTGTATATCATTGGGTAAAGTTTATGGCCCATATCCTTCCCTGGCCATTTAATTTCTGTGATATCTTAACATTACTTATCGCCTTACAGACATGTCATCAATTTGCAGAGCTAACATTAAATGGAATCGTACAATAAAAACGTAACCTTTAACTGACTTTTTGCAAGCGCTGAAACGTGTAATGCCCGAAATCGTTAAAATGCGACTGATTTTCTTGAGGCTTCCTCTCAGTTTGTTGCCAGTTGGCACAAAAAGAACCCAAATATTTATATAAATTTTATTACATACCTATGGCCTTACCATTCATTCAACACTCTTATATCTTATTTGTAGAAGCTAATTCAAAACTACGTAATATTTTTCTTAAAATATCCATTCATATATTACACGTCCGTAAATTTTACTTCATCTCTAAGAAACA